AGGCCTTTTCAAACATAAGTATTATTTTACGTGTTTAAAGTTGTAATTTGTGTATGGGTTAAGAACTTGCATCGTTATGTCTTTTGAAACTTAAGTCTTATGGTTTATTTTCTCTGTATGGTTTAACATATTGCATATCGAAAATTAGGGTATAGGATTTATCCAAATTTTATAATTATCCCTTTTAATCAAATTAAACTAATAATTATCTAAAATATGGAAACCCTAACAACCTACCATTTTCGAAATTACTTGGGGAGGAAGGGTAGGGTTTCAAAACCCTAGCCCTAGTCGAAATTATGACCTTTTAGGGTTTAATTTCTATAAACCCTAATTTGATCTATTATTCTATTCTACCTATTCAACAGAAAACAAACCAAACGCTCTTATACCATTGATGAGTTTTAGGTATAACAAACAAACTCAAAACTCTTAAGTGTGCATGCAACCTAAAATAAGATCTATGTTTTTTCTATTGAAACTATAACTAATAATATCAAAAGAAACCCTAGGCATTTTTCAAAATTACTTAAAGAAGGTTTTAGGATTACATACCTTTTAGTTGTTGTAGCAAACAACTAGAAATTCCCTTTGAAGATCTCTTGAAAGCTTAGCACCACAAAAGTCGTGCCTCTAATGGAATCACACCCAAATTAGCAAGAAGATAACTTAAGAGAGAGGAGAGGGGAGAAGAATTTCATCCAAGCCTTGGACAGAAGAGAGTGGGACGAAAATGGGATCCTTAGGCTCTTTTATATAGTGGTACAAGGAAACCTTAGATAACCCTAGTTTGAATAATGTTAATTCGAATTTGGTAATTATATACTTCCCTATTATCCATGTGGGATATTCTAGAACCCTAGAATATTCCCTCTAAACCGTCTATAGCTATACCAAGAAGGTTCTGGAGCATTTCATTCAACTATTGAACAATTGTACTGTAGACCCTGCATTTTTAAATGATTATATTAATCCCAAAATTTATTCCAATAAATTTCTGACTAATTATTAATTAAACATTACTATTTCTAATTAATATATTATTCTCATAATATATTCATAAACTATTTATTTCAATTTATTAATCTAATAATAAATCAATTAACATCTCTCTCTAAAAGTCATATTGTTCAATTGCTAGGTTTGAGGGCAACCCAAAAGAACTGTGCTAATATTAATTCAAGTATATACCAATTATAGTTATGGGCTTAGACACCTAATCCAACAATAACTGTCGTAATCATCTTTATTGTCTCACCGGCACACAACCCAATAGGAAATCCCGAAGCACCATTTCTCGTAGACACTAACCCGTAATCGAAAGGGGAAACCTTAAGATTACCACAACTTAATAATAAACATATAAGTATGAAAACATTACTACACTCAACTCCTTGGATTCCCCATACCTTCTCTTTACTCGGGCGTGGATCATGTGCCTTCGATAGTATAGGCCCTACTACTATTGTCCACACCGATCATTGTTTGCTCCAAGTTCCATCTCGAAGTAGCCAAGTCACTTCTCACTGACAATTCTAATGATGTGCCCTACACCAACACATGCCAACACTCTTCGTTGCTCACTATGGCTCCCACCCCACCATGTTATTCTACCGGAAAGAAACTCCTATCAGTGCTAACTGTGACCTCCCCAAATTCACGGTTATTTTAAAAATGTTATTTATGCTTATTTGAAAATCTGAGTATTCATTTTAAAGAATAATATTGCGGTATTTGTTCCCAGAAAACATGATAAATATATTATCAAAGCATTTCCGAAGAAATGTATTTTGTTTATATTAAAACTTTGGGATGTCATCGTCAATACAGAAACATAAGCATAAACAAACCTTACATTCATTTACATTAGTGATTTACATCTCCTTTAATCTCTCAGTGTAATGTAGCTTCGTATCGACACCTGTGATACAAATAAACTGAGTGGGTCAAGTTGGGAAACCTGGTGAGTACATAGGGTTTTCAACCCACAGTAATATAGTTAATTTGTTTCTTCACATAATTCATGTCAAACAATTAACTCGATTACTCCTCTCTATTTTCTTCATTTAATCTTCCCTAAAGATTTATCCTAAGGGTCCTCTTTAAAAAAAAAAAAAAAATTTATCCTAAGGGTCATCTCCCACATCGTATTTACCTCTCATCTCCTTACATCGCATTTCCTTATATGTTTGTTCCTAAGGCCTTTTCCTAAGGATAATTGCCTACACCGCATAGACAATACTGATTCGGGGATTACTCTCTCAATAAGTGTCCAGTAAGGGTTAGAGTATCGTCATATGAATACATAGTTACAACATCGCCTGAACTCGTAGTTCACAGTAAGGGTTAGAGTATCATCACATGAATACGTAGTTACAACATCGTTTGAACTTGTAATTCATCACATATAGGTTATGAGCCTGCTGGTGTTTCCACATGACTGTCTAGAATAGTCTGTGGTCGCCATCTATACTCTGGTAGATGATTACATCGCCACATCGCTTCTCAAGGTTATGACATCTCCTCTCATCTCACATCACATATTTATCATCACCTATCATCATCACCTAGTTATCATCACCTTTCTATCATCACCTATCTCTCATCACCCGTCGCTACCCAATATATATTTACAAGTATAAAAATACGTATATAGTTTAAATCACGTAAACATGTATAAATCGTTCATCTAGCATAGATATCAGGAACACAAATAATATGCACACATAGCACGCAATTTATATTAAATACGTCATATCTATGTGTAAGATGAAAGTAACTATGCACTCAGTTGTTAAAGTGATGATTCCAACTTGGGTAGCGCTTCGCTTCTAACAATTCTATTTTCCTTCAGCGAAACCTAGTATCATTACCGCTAGATTTTACTCTAATATTTATCGCGACTATTTACGAGTGATATTGTTTTATAAGTGTTAAACAATACTTTTCAACCACTATGTACAGACAGGGCCAAACATGAAACACTGGAGGACAAGACCATTTTGGCATTATAGCACTTCTAAAATCCAATAACCTTGTGCGGTCCTTCAAACCAGATTCCCCGTACCGCGAGTAGTTAAAAGATATTATAACACTTTATATATATATATATATATATATATATATATATATATATATATATATATATAGTTTATAAGTTCATAATAACGATATTGAACTTAAACATAAGCTATACTTAAAGTAGGGTAAGCATAACTCACTTACTAAGAGGTTTGGCTAGGAACCAGGCTTTGCGGGGGCAGAACTTCCGAACCAAAATCTCTTCTTCTCGGAGCCTTCTGGTGCTCCGGCACTCTCCTCTAGCACTCAGGAAGTGCTAGGGAATGGGATGGGCTAAGAGGGGTGTTTTAGAGAGAAAGAATGGAAAATGTGTGAGTTTTTGGGGTGATTTACGCCTCTATTTATAGGCTAAGTCTGGTTCGAACGTGGGTGTTCCCTTGCTGAACGTTGGCCGTTCGTGGTCAGGTGTCATAATCTGGTGCCAAGCGTTGGTGAGGAAGCAGTGGCTCAGATCGCGCCACGTGTTGCTCGTTGGTTACTCCAAAAACTAATTATCTCTAAAATCCGTAACTTTTGCATACAAACTTCGTTTTTTACGTTCTTTATATTCAAACGTAGGTATCGATGGGATCTACAACTTTTGTTTAGACTCTGTCGGCTAATTTTGAATTTATTTTTAAAATTATATTTTAACAAACTTAGACAGTTAAAATCCGTTAAAAATTCATAACTTTTTCATCCGACGTTCGTTTTCGACTGTTTTTATATCGTTGAGCTCCTATTAATGAGATATACAATTCTCATTTAGGTTGTGTTGGCTAAAAATCGATCGATCTAAAATTCGATTTCCGGGCTGTGCACTGCTATGCTAAATCTTAGAAAAATCATAACTTCCTCAAATGAAGTCAGATTTGGACGTTCTTTTTTGTACGCTCTCGGTTTAGCATATACTACGACTTTCATGTAGATCGCTAAGGCTAAAAAGTAATTTATCAAAAATTCACTTTTTACGTTACGCGGAGTCGTGTCGGTTTTGTCGTAAAACTTCGACGGGTCATAACTTCTTCGTTAGAAGTCGGATTTCAGCGTTCTTTATATGTACGGAATCCTTGTGACATATACTATAATTTGGTTAAGATTATTTATTCTAAATAATCTTCTATCAAAAAGTCATTTTTAACGTTTATTATCTTTAAATTGACTAGCCCGAATCTGCGGGCGTTACACTAACTAACTACCTCGTAAATACTATTACATGCAACTAGAATTAAACAGACTTTTAACTGAAGATCTCACACTACAACGATTTAGGGATGAGCATACGAATCGTGGGACTGGACCGGGCCGGACCGGAAAAAAACCGGGACCGGATTTGGACCGAACCGGATTATCATATTAGTGTGCCGGTTTTCGGATTTGGTTTTTATCAATAATCGGGTTTCAGGTTTGGAGCGGACAATACCCGAATTAAAGGATTTAACCTGGATCAGACCGGAACACCAAAAGTTATTTTTTTATTTCTTTTTTATCGACAAACAGTAAGCGAGAATTACCAAAATAAAAAAAATATTGTCTGATTGAATTGATTCGGCCTCTCGTGTGCATCACATTATAGTGTCAAATTTTTTGGTTTTGGCCTCTTCTCTTGATCGCATTATGGTGTTGATTTTTTTTTCGAAAAACCAAAAGTTATTTCCTAATACAATTTTTTAATAAAAATAATGCAGTTTTTTATTAATAATGCAGTATTTTTTAATAAAAATAATCTTGTTAAGTGCAATTTTTTTAGAAAAATAGTGCAGTTTTGTTTTATAAAAATAGTACAATTTTTTTTTTTATAAAAATTGTGATGTTAGGTGCAGATTTTTTTATATAAAAATAGTGCAGTTTTTTTCATATAAAAATAGTGTAGTTTTTTTAATAACATTTGTATTTGTTTGCATACACCTCATTTGCACGTATTCTAATTAGAGTCCCGCAACATACCGTTGTATTCATCTTCTTTATGTATTTTTTAAATCGAATTGTGCAAACAACAAAGATACGTTGATTTAGATTTAAAAATAAATATTGATATTTCATGCCAAAAAGAATGATTAAATGTACATACTTAGAGCCAATTTGAATATGGGTCGTCTTTGTAAGCTAACCGCTCCATATATGACGTTTTGTAGTCTCTCTGACTAGATTTTCTCCATCCACGCAAGTCTATGACAGTGTGATATAAGGATGTATCATTATTAATTGCAGCTTAATCTTCATGAAAAGCCTCCGATCTAAGAGGAACTTACCTGTACATGGAATGGTATCACCAAGTAACACCTTTAACCAATCAGGGGTCGTTGACTTGAAGAAATCACGGCGACAGAGATAGTAGGCTCCTGTAGTGAGCTCAAATTCAGATAGATCTCCTCCAATAACTTCTTCCTCTTTCTTGTAATTTTTGTCGTATTGTAGCTCTACTTCGCCATCATCTATGAATACAAGGCTGGCACCACACCTGCTTACCATAAATGCATCCCCCACAATGATGGACACATTGATTTCATCACCTGCGTCTAATATGTTCCCAATGGGCCAATAGCTTAACCACACAGCATTTTCTTCATCTTGCGGATCGCAATAGATCAAAGGGTTATACATCCAAGTAAGGCCCTTGGTTATATTGCTGACTTTGGTGAACAAAACCCATGTATCTTCATCCTTGTAAGATGTGTCCCACTGTCTGTATGATCGTCTGTATGAGGCGGTTACGTTTAATCCTCGTATCCTGCATTTCTCAGGACAAGAAGGCACACAAAAGGATAAGAACATGGATGATGACATATACTTGAACGTTGGCATGTTTTGATCCTTTATGCCTGGAAGATATGTGCTCAGTATACCATATTCATAGAGCACCTGGTCACACATTGCAGAAATATCTAATTATTCATATATTAATCAGTTTTCCGGTGGTAAAAGGATGTGTTTTTTGTGTACTCATTCATGCATGAGAGAGAGAGAGAGAGAGAGAGACCTGTGTAAGCCCACCGTATCTGCTGACACCACCTCTGAGATCTACCTTAGTATCATCATATGCTTTGATCCATTTCATATGTCCCAAATCTGCTTCATCAAGCTTTGCTAACGGCACCAATTTGAAAAAGCCTTGAACTTCAAACAAGCTTTTACAATGTAGATATTCAAATTTCCGCAATCTGAACCGAGCTGATTCAAATGTTATTTTCTCTAGTGAAAAACACCAAGATGTATACAACTCTTCTAGCGTACTTGGGAGACATAGGAGCGACTTTATTTCTCTACAACTATCCAATTGGAGCACCCGAAGCATCTTAAGATTAGTGTAATTGGTCAGTAACATTACCGGGTTACTGCCAAAATTAATGTGATCATAAGGGCTACTGCTATAACCAAAGCAGTCATTGAGAAACAGAAACTTTAGCGACTCTGGAAAAGGGACCAACAACGGTTGTGGCGTTCCTCCACCAGTACATAAAGCTTTTAGCCTTTGCAGTTGATTTCCATACTTCTTATTCGGTGCAACCGTCCCAGGAAGACGACATTTTCCAAATTCCAATAGAGAAAGCTTCTTAAGACCTCTGACTGTTTCCCAAACATGAGTGAGACTGAGAAAGAGACAGAACGTGAGAATCAATGTCTCAAGATTAGGAAGTCGGGAAGGATGGCAGATACTAACAAGCCTGAGTGAGCAATGAAGATTTAGGATCTTCAGCGAGTTAAGAACCTATTCCAAGTATAACAAGCTTAATTTATCATTGTACATTTACAAAAAAAAACTTTCTACAAATGAGAAGCTAAAAGGTCAAGTGATAAACAGGACATCAAATTCGTACCAAAGGTGGTTCAAAAAACTTTAATTTTCCGTAACTCATATCTATAGCCACCAAGCTGCTGCCAAATAAGCCGTAGGGTATTTTTTTCAATTGACAGTGACTCCAGTACAACCATCTCAATTGTGGAAAATTCTTGTAGGACCCCTTGAGTTTCACAGACTCTAGCTTGAGTAATTTCAGTTTGTCCATTTTTGCAAGTGAAGCTGATTTTAAGGTTGATGGCTGCAAATTTAGCATTAAGTTATTTAATTAGTACATACCTCATGTATGACATACAATGCACTGAAAATTAAAGATAAACTCAGAAAAAATGTCAAGAGTACCACACTCATTCACGTCTTTTGCTTACATAAAATTCAGTGAACATGTCAAGTGCTAGACCTTCGATTGTTTTTGAACCCTAACAGGAAAGACATGAAATGAGAGAAGGCAAGTTAACATAGGAGGTTGTGAAAGGGAAAGTAAGTTTAGGATTCACATTAGAAGCACCTTACCTCTCCTTTTCTCAACAAACGATAAGATTCATCATATTGCGAGACTCTACTACGTGCTGCAGGATCTCTGGACTCTTGAAGGACTATGTTTCTTGCCATCTCTTGAAGCAGTTGATGCATCATCAGTTTTTTCCTTGGTGAGATGGTAAGAAGGCATCTGTTAATGAGGGTCCTGATCCCAGCCTTTGCATGCCATTCATGCTCCAATATCTTTACCACAGAACCCTCATATTCACCAACGAAGAAAAAAGCAATATGCAGAAACAACTCTTTGTTACTAGCATGTGGTAATGAGTCAAAGCTCTTTTGTAGTATACCTTGGATTTTACAATCAAGATCTCCATTCAATAAATTCAGTGAATTCAATGTACTTCTCCAAACCTCTATCATGCTATCTTTTTTCCATGGCTGGTCAACATCAACAAATAGAGAAGAACCTATTACTTTAAGAGCTAGTGGGCTTCCAGCACAATATTGTGCTAACTGAACTGCGAGCTCTTTAAAATCTTCAATAGGAATTTTGGATCCAAATGCATGGCAACTTAAAAGCTCTAATGATTCATGATCATTCAACAATTCAGGTTTTTGCACCTCGCACCTCCAAGATATGGATACGAACCATGCACGTATATCTAAAAGCCTGGTTGTTATTATGATCTTGCTTTGTGTGTGTAAAGCCCTTGTTCCAAGTAAAGCGCCTAATTCCTCATGTTCATCAATGTCATCAAGAACGATAAGCACCCTTTTCAATTGTAAGGCTTCCTCAACCTTCCTTGTACCCTCAGATACACTAGAGATATTTGCATTATTTCCCCCTAGAATGTCTTTCAGAAGTTGTTTCTGAAGCCCAAGCAGACCAGCAGACTGTTTAGAGTGCTTTCCGATCTCTTCAAGGTAACTGCTGCTTTCAAATTTTTGCTTGTTTGAGTTATAAATGAATTGGGCCAGTGTCGTCTTGCCACTACCTCCCATGCCACAAATTGCTAGAACATTATCACCAAATTGCTCACTTTCCAACCAAGAGTGGATAAATTTTGTCCGAGAATCCATTCCAATTAGATGAGCTGGAGTACCAACTAGTTTGAAATCTAGTTCAGAGTTGATTGTACCAACAATTTCTGTGATAAAGTTTGTTTCAGACCTGCAACAAACGAATAAAGAAAATGAGCACATTCGGAGCATGGAATCTAATCTTCTTGAATATTTTTACTTGCTTCAGTTATAGTGCATGGAATTCAAATACTCTCGCAAATGTAATATTCTTCCTGCAACCATTATCAAAATATGAGACCGAGGTGTACATAGCAAGTGTATATGCACTGAATTAAGCTTTTAATAATGTGAAGGCCAACTAGATACACCCTAATTGAATGAATCAGGTTGGACAACAGGCCAAAGTCAAACCTGAATACCTGCTATGTAATCAGTTTAGTTTTAGCTTCACTTCTCACTCACTATTTCACATCATATATACATACGCGATACATGAATATATGCATATTGTAGATTACAAGATTTGTAGTAAACCATTCATAAGTAAGGAGGAGAACGGCATAATGTCACTAACCGAAAAGTTATTTATCCGATCGAGTAAACTTTGTATCTTCATTATATAGAAAATTAGTCATCATGCCAAATGTGTCAGGAAACAAGGAGCAACACATATCAAGTATGTGCAAAAGTAAACCAACAACTTAGTTTACTATGGAAAAGGCCATAGAATACTACGAAACATGCCATGGAATACACACACAGCTAACCATCTAATCATCTCCTTCTCTCTTTGCATAAATTTAAAACAATATGAGCCAAAGAAAATTCGATGACTTATCTTTTCAACAATCATACATGAATTTAATCATCTGCGAGACACAAATTACCATTCCTTATCATATTTAACAGTCTCAGTTGAATTAATCAAAAAGAGTTTCCAAAGGATTAAACTATAAGCATGAACAGAGAAATTAAGCATACCCGGAAACAACCATGCCCGTCAAATCAGCAACCTCTGTAAGGGCTGCCTTCCATTGATTGACATTATACTCTGTCCATTTTGACCCTTCTACTCCTTCTTCTACATTTATCGTGAAACTTTGTCTTTGGTTCCTCACGTCTGAGGGATCGACATGGTAAAAAACCGGTAAAACAAAATGATTAAAGCTCCGCCTTTGCTTAAGGATCAACAGCAGCTCGTCAAGGCACCATCTGGAATTCGCATACTTCTCTGACAATACAACTATAGAAGCCCTAGATTCTTTGATTGCTCTCTCGATTTCTGGCTTCAGATCTTCACCTCTGTCGATATTATCATTATCCCTAAAAGTGCGAACTCCTGCTCGCTTTAAAGCTGCATAGAGATGATCTGTAAATGAATTACGAGTATCTTCACCTCTAAAGCTTAAAAAAACGTCATGGCAGCTGGTATGATTCAGCAGAGAAGCAAAAGATGAAGCAGACGCCATTGAAATTAGTAAGATGAGAGGTTGTTAAACAATGGGGAATATAAAGGCATCAAAATCAACACCTCGGGTCTCCGGAGTGGCAGAGAATTACAAGAGGTGTTCGGTGTGTCTCGGGAGAGGCGGAGAATCACAGAGGTGTTGGGTTGTCCGTTGTTGTTTTGGCATTGTTCAAGATTTTCTTGTTGAGTTTGAAGTTTCTTTCTAAAAATTATACTGTAATATTTTAAATTGTGTTTAAATATTGAATAATTTATTTTAATAAAAGGTATTCATGTATTTAGAATTTCCAATAAATAAAAACTTTCTTCTGAAAATCTATTATCAATGAAATTCCATATTCTTTTAAAATTTAACATGTATTCATGAATTATTTAACTATTTTGCCTAGATATGTGATTTAGCAAATCAATCTCTTTATTACAAACTAGTTATAAGACTCGTGTATAATATGGGTTAACTAAAAAAAATTAAACATAAAAGTTAAAATATTTGAAAACTTTGAATTTATAAAAAAATAAGAAAAATAACGAATTATTATAATGGAATGTTTTTATCTTTTAAATTTAAATAAATAAAATAAACTAATGAGCTTTAATTTTAGGAATTTTAAAATTAAAATCTAAGTTCATTAATGAAATTAATATACATTTATTATAATTATTACATTAAAATATTATGCAGAATTTAATAAAACAGAAAAACACATAAAATGATACGTCGAAATAAATTATTTTAAAATAACCATAAAATGACATTTGGCAAATTGAATGAGAGTGTCACAAATGGCAAAAAAAATATTCATTTATTAGGGAGGATAAACATATAAAAACATCAAAATAAACATTCGAGGACATTTATTATAATCTATGGTTTTGGTGAGTCATTTAACCATCCCAGAAACCACATACATCCGATTTAGTCCATATCAAATTTCAACCTTTTAAAATAGGATGAGCAAAAACATATCGAAAACCAAAAAACTGACATAACCAAAACCCAAATACCGAAACCAAAGAAATAACCGACGGTTTAGATTTGAATTTTACAAAAAACGAAAAATAACGGTTTGGTTCCGTTTTAACGTATAAAACCGCCCACAAACACCGAACTAACCCATATATATATATATATATATATATATATATATATATATATATATATATATA